TTTGCCGTGTACTTTTATTTTTAAGAAAATGTTTATTTTGAGAGAGAGAGAGGACATGGGAGGGGCAGAGAGAATGGGAGAGAGAACCCCAAGTAGTCTCCATACTGTCAGTGTAGAGCCTGACCTGGAGCTTGAACTCCCAAACCATGAGATTATGACCTGAGCTGAAATCAAGAGCCACCCCAGTGCCCCTTGTGTACTTTTAAAAGAAATAATATGTAACTAATATCTTTCCAGTATATTACATACTGTTATAAAATAGTACTGTGTATATTTGCTTTATATTGTAGAAATAACCTGCCAGCCTCTGGGAGTTATGTTCCTAAATAGTGCCATGATCAGTGTTGACAAGAACAAACTATAACAATTTTTCTTATTTTTGTATATAAATATTCTTCTTTTTGCGTTTGTTAATTTTTGAGAGAGAGTGTGTATGCGAGGCAGGGAAGGGGCAGGGAGAGAGGGAGACAGAGGATCTGAAGCGGGCTCTGTGATGACAGCAGGGAGACCAATGCAGGTCTTGAACTCAGGAACTGAAATACCATGACCTGAGCTGAATGAAGTCAGGTGCTCAATCGACCGAGCCACCCAGGCGCACCAGATAAATTAGTTTTAAAGTATTTTTACTCGTGTGTGTGTGTAAGTATGTGTTTTTCATGTTTTATTTTTGAGAGAGAGAGAGAGAGAGCACCTGCCCGTAAGCAGGGGAGGAGCAGAGAGAGAGGGAGACAGAATTAGAAGCAGTCTCCCGGCTGAGTTGTCAGCACAGAGCCTACACAGGGCTGGAACTCATGATCCCTGAGATCATGACCTGAGCTGAAGTCAGCGCTCAACCAAGTGAGCCATCCAGGCGCCCCTAAAGCATTTTTAAAGTAGCTAATATTTCCTATGAATTACCATTATTGTTTTGCAAACATTTCTGTACGGTCATATTTTGCTAAAACAGATTTTGTCTATATGTTTTACTTTACAGAAATTTTTACTTCATTTTATAATCTGTATTAGTAACTTGAAACTATGTTTTTGGTACTTACATTTCATTTTCACAAATCTTCTGTAAGTTTGTGTTTTCATCTCTGTTTTTCACAAATTATCATTAAAAAGAGTAAAGCAGTTTTGAGTGTGTATTTTTGCATGTTTTTTGGGGTCACCATAGTTGTCCACATGGAAGAGTAAGAATGGTGACTTTTGATCATTTCTTCCTTTCTTTTGGATTTTTTTTTAATAAACTTTTTTAGAGCAGTTTAAGGGTTTAGAGAAAAATTAATTTGAGAGTACAACAATTTTCCATATATTCCTACTGGCCTAGGTCCCCTAGCATTAACCCAGTTTACCTTATTATTAGCTTCTTGCCTAGAGTGGTATGTTTGTTACCATTGATGGACCAGTATTGATACATTAGTATTAAGAAAAGTTCATAGTTTAGATTAAGGTTTACTCTGTGAGTTGTACATTACACGTTTTGAGAAATGTATTATGACATATACCCACTGTGACAGTATCACAGGAAAATCATTTAGCTGTCCTAAAAGTCTTCTGTGCTCCACCCATTTTCCCTTCTCTTGAATTCTTGGCAACCATGATCTTTCTGAGTATCTCCATAGGTTAGCCTTTTCCATCCATAGAGCTGGAATGATACAGTGTCTATCCTTTTTCAAATTGTCCTTTGCTCCTAGCAATATGTGTCTAACTTTCCTTCATTTCTTCTCATGTCTTGATAGCTCATTTCTTCTTAGCAGCAAATAATATTTCATCTTATGGATGTATCACAGTTTGTTGATCCATTTACCTATTAAAGGATATCTTTGTTGTTTCCACTTTTTCGTAGTTATGAATAAAATTATTACAAACAATCTGGTGCAGGTTTTGTATGGACATAAGTCTTTAACTCATTTGGATAAATACCAACATGTCTGATTTCCAGATTGTGTGGTAAGAGTATGCTTCATTTTGTAAGAAACTGCCAAACTCTTCCAAAGTAGATGTACCATTTTACATTCTAGTCTGCAGTGAATCAGTTCTTATTGTATGTCCTCACCAGCATTTGATGTCATCATTTTTTGGATTTAGACATTCTATCAGGTATAGAGCAGAAATATCATTGTTTTAATATGCAATTTTCTAGTGACATATAATACTGAGCATCTTTTCATATGCTTATCACCTATATATTTTATTTGGTAAGGTGTCCAGATCTTTTGTCCATTTTTTTAACTGGGTTGCTTTTTCCATTTTATTGTTTAAATGTTGTTGTATGTTTTGTATACCAGTCTTTTATCAAATCTGTGTTTTGCAAGTATTTTTTTATCAGTCTGTGGCTTGTCTTCATTCTCTTAACAGTGTCTTTTATAGAGCAAAAGGTTTTAATTTAAAATTCAGTTTATCAATTTTTTCTTTTCTAGATTGTGCTTTTGGTGTTGTACCTAAAAATTCACTGCCAGACACAAAGTCACACAGATTTTTTTCTGTGTTCCTTTTTAGAAGTTCTACGGTTTTGTGTTTAATGTATAGGTGTATGTTACATTTAATTTTTGTGAGGTTTAAGTGCTCTGTCAACTCAGTTTTTTACCTGTGGATATCCAGTTCCAGTACCTTTAGACTTTTATCTTTTGAATTATCTTCTCTTCTTTGTCAAAAATATTTTTGTGAGTCTATATCTAGGTTTCTATTTTGTTCTATTTATTTATTTATTTTTCTATTTTTTCACCATTACTACACTGCAGTTGACCCTTGAACAACACAAGTTTTAGGGTTGCAACTGCCTGTACAGTTTAAAATGAGTGTGTAACTTTTAGTTCCTCCCAAAACTTCACTACCAATAGCCTACTGTTGACTGGAAGTCTTAACTACTGATAACATAAACAGTTGATAATACCTGTTTTGTATGTTATATGTGATATATGCTATATTCTTAAAATAACCTAGAAAAAAGAAAATGTTAAGAAAATCATAAGGAAGAGAAAATACACTTACAGTATTGTACTATATTTATTAAAAGAAAAAAAAACATGTGTGTATATAAGTGGATCCAAGCAGTTTAACCCTTGTTGCTCAAGGGTCAATTGTATATGTTACTTTAGCTTTATAGTAAGTCTTGTAGTAGGGTAGTTTCTGACCTCCAACTTTGTTCTCTTGCAATATCATATTGGCTCTTCTGTGTCTTTTTCCTTTCCACGTAAACTTTAAAATCAGTTTATATCTACAGAATAACTTTAGAATTTTGATTGGGATTTCATTGAATCTATAGATTAAGATTGAAAGAACTGACATAATAACAATACTGAGTCTTTTTTTTTTTTTTTTTTCAACGTTTTTTATTTATTTTTGGGACAGAGACAAGTATGTGAGCGGAGGCAGGAGAGAGGAGACACAGAATGGGAAACAGGCTCAGGCTCCCAGCCGAATCAGCCCAGAGCTAATGGGGCTGAACTCCGACTCTTGAGATCGTGACCTGGCTGAAGTCGGACGGCAACAACTTGAGCCTTCTGCGCCGCAGTAAACCCTGAATACTGAGTCTTCTTATCCGTGTAAATGGAATATCTGTTCATGTATTTAGGTCCACTTTGATTTTTTTTAATCAGATTTTTTTAGTTTTCCTCATGTAGAAAGTAGTTGACATTGGTATATTAACCTTGTATCCTACAACTTTGCTTCAGTAGTTTATTAATTCCAATAGTGTGTGTATATTCTTTGGGATTTTCTCCATTCATGATCTTACCATCTACAAAGAGATGATTTTATTTCTTCCTCCCTATCTGTATACATTTTATTTCCTTTTCTTGTCTTACTGCATTAGCTAAGTGTTCAAGTATCATTTTGAATACCAGTGGTGATCCTTCTTGATCTGAGTGGGAAATCATGTAATTTCTCACTATTAAAAATGGTGTTAGCTGTAGATATATTTTTTTAGATGTTTTTAGCATTAAAGAAATTCCCTTCTAGTCCTGATGTATTTTTGAATTGGTATTGGATTTTCTGAAATGCTTTTTCTGTATCTCTTGATAAAATCATATTTTTCTTCTTTTATTCTATTGTTGTTATGGATTAATCATTTGTTTTAGGAATGGTGAATGAGTCTGGCATAGTTAGAATGGATCCCACTTATTTTTATGTATTGTGTGATTTAGTTCACTACTACTTTGTTGAGAATTTTTGCATCTGTATTCATGAGAGATATTGGTATGTAGTTTTCCTTTCTTGTAATGTCATTGTCTGGTTTTCCTATTAAGGTAATGCTTACCTCATACAATTAGTTAGAATGTATTCATTCACCTTTATTTCCTGAAAGAGACTTATCATTAGTAGGGAATTACTATCATTTGTTCCTTAAATGTTTGGTGGAGTTTACCAGTGAACCTATCTGGGCCTGATGGTTTCTGTTTTGGAAGGTTATTTATTGACTTGATTTCTTTTTTTTAAATTTTTTTTTTCAACGTTTATTTATTTTTGGGACAGAGAGAGACAGAGCATGAACGGGGGAGCGGCAGAGAGAGAGGGAGACACAGAATCGGAAACAGGCTCCAGGCTCTGAGCCATCAGCCCAGAGCCTGACGCGGGGCTCGAACTCACGGACCGCGAGATCGTGACCTGGCTGAAGTCGGACGCTTAACCGACTGCGCCACCCAAGCACCCCGACTCGATTTCTTTAATACATATAAACATATTCAGATTATTTTTCTTGCATACATTTTGTTAGATTGTGCCTTTCAAAGAAATGGTCCATTTCATCTAGGGATCAAATTTGTGGGCAGAGATGTTGTTCATAATTTTGCCTTATTACCATTTTAATGTTTAAAGGATCAGTGCTGATGGCTGATTTTTGCTGTTTCCTCTTGATTCATTCTTAGAGATTCCATCTCTGCTTACAATGCTTGTTTGTAATTGCATGATACCTGCTTTTTCCATTAGAGCCCTTAACATGTTAGTTGTAGTTGTTTTATACTGCCAGTCTGCTAATTCCAAAATCTTAGTCACATCTGAGCCTCATTTTGTCTTTTCAGGCTATGTCTTTTTTCCTTTTAGTGTGCCTTGTAACATTTTGTTGAAAGCCAGAAATGATGTACTGTCTATAAAGAACTGAGGTAAGTAAGTCTTTAGTGTGAGATTTTTATGTTTATTCAGCTTAAAATTAGTTGTGTTTATTGTTTGCTGCACCCTTAGGTGTCAGAAACTAAAATTTCTTCTTGTGTTCTTGCTTTTGTCTCCAACTGTTTTCTTTGGAATTCCCTAGAGATTTCGTAAACAAGGTCTGAGAGTTCTTTCACTTGTAAACCCCTACTTTAATACAGGAGCCCTGTTAATGTGGTGGGAAGATGTTGAGGGAGGAGAAGCATCATATATTCCTGTAATTAGGTCTCAGTTTTGTGTGTAAGAGAGCCTATGCCCCTGAACATAGTACCTATACAGGTACTTCTCAGATTCCCCCACCCTCAACAAGTAACACACACATTACCCCTTTAGGGGAGTCATGAAGGGAAGAAGGGGCTAGAGTTGGGTATTTCCCTTCCCTAAGAGAGCTGGACTCTGGTAAAATAATTTGCTTTGCAGGCAAGCCTTGTTAAAGAGGACAGAATGCTCTAGATATATTTCAGTGTGTCTACTTTTCCCGTATCCCTGTTGCAACAGGAGGAAATTTTTTCTGATCCTTGTTAGAAGATCAGAAGTGTCTAGAGAACCTGGAAGCGTACTTCGAGGTAAAACTCAGAATAAGTGTGGTGTCTTCCCTAAGACTGGCCCTCCTGGAGTTTTTAACTCTTAAGCTTTTTAACATTGAACCTCTAGCAAATTGTCAGTCACATTCTAATTTCGTATACTTTGGAACTGCCTCCAGTGCAGTCTCTGTACCTGGGCTTCTGCTCCAGTAAGCTATGATTCTCTATATCTGCCTGTGTCTAATACTGGAAGACACAGTGCCCTCTGACCTCATTCTTACAGATCTAAGAAGAGTTGTTGTTTTTCAGTTTGTTCAAGTTTTTTCTAGCTATGAAGAGAAGAGTGTCAACCTCCAAGCTCTTTACATGCTGGACAGAACCTTGATCCTTTTTGAATAAAAATTTCTGGTTTTGTTTGTTTTTACTTTAAAATCAAATTAGTGAAGACTGTAGTTGAAGTTTTTCATTGTGTGTGTATAGTGATGTAGTTAATTAACTTCCTACCACTAGCTATTTAATTTTTCCTTTTTATAATCAGAATTATATTAAACATCCTTATAGCTAGGTATCTGTATATATCTGTAATTATTTTTTTTGAGTAAATTCCTGCAAGTGGAATTGCAGGATCAAAGTCTGTATTAAATTGAGCCTCCTAGTAAAGATGTGTTTGTACCATTATTTTGTGTTGCTTCAATTAACCACAGCCTTCCCAATACCTTAACTCAAACATTTTACTTTGTGTTCCAAAATAGTACCTCACTTAATCTTTTTAAATTTAGTTTTAATGGGAAAGAACTATATTTTAAAGATGAAATTCACTTTGTTCTCTTCCTCAATTTTTTTATTCAAATGTAATTAATATACAGTTATTAGTTTCAAGTGTGTACTATGATTCAGCAGTTCTGTACCTTTCTCAGTGCTCATCAAGATAAGTGCAGTCTTAATCTCTGTTAAGACTATTTGAGCCATCCTCCAACCCACCTACCCTCTGGCAACCACCAGTTTGTTCTCTGTACTTAAGAGTTTGATTTTTTGACTTTTTTTTCCTTGTTTCTAAATTCCACATATGCACGAAGTTTTATGATATTTGTCTTTCTCTGATTGACTTATTTCACTTAGCATTATACCTTCTGGGTTCATCCATATTGTTGCAAATAGCAAGTTCTCACTTTTTCTTTATGGCTGAGTGATGTCCCTTTATATGTGTGTGTTTATGTGTATTTCAATATGTATGTACATAACAATTTCTTTATGCATTCATGTATGGATGGACACTTGGATTGCTTCCTTATCTTGGCTATTATAAATAATACTGCAGCAAGCATAGGGATTCATATATCTTTTTTAATTAGTGTTTTCGTAGTCTTTTGGTCATTACCTATTAGTACAATTACTGGATCCTTGGTAATTGTATTTTTCATTCTTGAGGAACCTCCACACTGTTTACACAGTGGCTGCACAAGTTTGCATTCATGCCAGTAGTGTACGAGGTTCTTTTTTCTCCACTTCTTCACCAATACTTATTGTTTCTTGTGTTTTTGATTTTAGCCATTCTGACAGGTATAAAGTGATATCTCATTGTGGTTTTAATCTGCATTTCCCTGGTGATTGGTGATACTGAGCATCTTTTCATGTGTTTGTTGGTGATTGTGTATGTCTTTGGAAAAATGTCTGTTCTAGTCCTCTGCCTACTTTTTGTTTGGATTATGTTCTTTTGGTTTGAGTTGTGTCATTTCTTTATATATTTTGGAAATTAATCGTTTATCAGATATATGTCCTTTGCAAATATCTTCTCCCATTCAGTAGATTGTCTTTTAGTTGTGTTGATGGTTTTCTTTGCTATGCAAAAGCTTTTTGTTTTGGTGTAGTCCTGCTACTTTAATGTTGCTTTTGTTTCCCTTACCAGAGGAGACATACCTAGAAAAATGTTTCTATGGCCAACATCAAAGAAATTACTGCCTATGTTTCCATCTAGGAATTTTATTATTTCATGTCTTCCATTTAGATCTTTAATCCATTTTTAGTTTATTTTTTGAATATGGTGCAAGAAAGTGGTCTGATTTCATTCTTTTGCATGTAGCTGTCCAGTTTTCTGAGCACAATTTGTTGAGGAGATTGTCTTTTCCCCATTGTATAGTCCTGCCAACTTTGTCATAGAGTAATTCACTATAAAAGCATGGGTTTATTTCTAGACTTTGTTTTGTTCTGTTGATCTGTTTATACTTGTGCCAGTATCATACCATTTTGATTATTACAGCTTTGTAGTATACATTGAAATCTGGGGTTATTGTATGTCCAGCTTTGTTCTTTCTCAAGATTGATTTGACTATTCAGAGTTATTTTGTGATTCCATACAAATTTTAGTATTATTTGTCCTAGTTCTGTGAGCAATCCTGTTGATGTTTTGATAGGAATTTGTATTCAATCTATAGAATTCTTTAGGTAGTATGTACACTTTAACAGTATTAATTCTTTCAGGCCATTAACATATATTTTCAATTTCTTTAGTCAGTGTTTTATGGTTTTCAGAGTACAGGTCTTTCACTTTCTTATGTTTATTCCCAGGTAATTTATTCATCCTGGTATAATTGTAAACAGGATTGTTTTCATAATTTCTCTTTTTGCTATTTCATTATTAGTGTATAGAAATGCAATAGATTTTTGTATGTTAGTTTTGTATTCTGTGACTTTCCTAAATCCATTTATCTTTTTTTTTTTTTTTTCATTTATCAGTTCTAATGGTTTGGTGGAGTCTTAGGGTTTTCTATATTAATACCATGCTATCTGCAAATAAGTGGAAGTTTTACTTCTTCCTTAACAATTTGGATTCCTTTTATTTGTTTTCCTTGTCTGATTACTGTGGCTAGGACTTCCAGTACTATGTTGAATAAAAGTGTTGACAGTAGACATCCTTGTCTTATTTCTGACCTTAGAGAAAGGGCTCTCAGTCTTTCCCCCACAGAATATGTGAGGTGTGGGTTTTTCATATATGACCTTTATTATGTTGAGATGGGTTTCATCTAAACCAACTTTGTTGAGAGTTTTTATCATGAATGGATGTGTTATTTTGTCAAGTGTTTTTTCTGCATTTCCTGAGATTATCCTATGGTTCATATCTTTCTCTTGTTAATGTGATGTATTATGTTGATTGATTTGATTGTAAATACTGAACCACCCTTGCATCCCTGAAATAAATTCCACCTGGTAATGGTGAATGACTTTTTAATGTGTTGTTGGATTTGGAGTGCTGTTATTTTGTTGATATTTTTTTTGTAACTGTTTTCATCAGAGATATTGGCCTGTAGTTTTATTTATTTGTTTGTTTTCTTACTCTTGCTTGATTTCTCTAGAATTAAGTATTAGTGGTAATAGTGGATATATTCATGATTTTATTTGTAATACCGTTTACAGTGGGTTTTGATACCTATCGTATTATAATTGAAGAACCAGATTTTTCCAAGTCCAACATGGGGCTTGAACTCATAACTCTGAGATCAAGACTGAGCTGAGATCAAAAGTCAGAGGCTTAACTGACTGAGCCACCCTGGCGCCCCAATCTTTTACTTTCTAAAAGATACCTTTTTTTTATTTATTGGACTACTGGCTAATAAAGATTTGATCCAGAATCTTTTATTCTGTTTATGAATTCTGTGTGAGCCTCATCTGCAATGATATTTTTTGCCTTTTGCCAAGTTTTATTAACAAAGCTTATATCAGGTGCATAGAATAAAGTACGAAGGCCTATATCTTTTTTTTTCTAGATTTTGGAATTGTTTAAATCCCTATAAACTTCTTTTTTGAATATTGGTTAAAAATTAAATTTCAAGGGTTGCCTGGGTGGCGCAGGCAGTTAAGCATCCGACTCTTGATCTTGGCCCAGGTCATGATGATTTCATGGATCATGAGTTCGAGCCCACATTAGGCTCTTCACTTCTGGTGCACAGCCTGCTGGGGATTCTCCTTCTCTCTGCCCTGCCCTTCTCTCTGCCCCACCCCGCTTATGTGCATTCTAGCGCGTGCTCTCTCCCTCCCTCTCAAAATAAATATAAAAAGAAATTTAAATTTTAGAACTCCTTGGTGCTATAGCTATTTTTGTGCGAAGTTTTGAGCACCCTTCCCATTTCTTTTGTGATCACTGATTTTTTCATGTTTTCTGCCTTTACTTTTCTTACTATTTGTTTTGTAATTATTTTGTCATTTTTCTGCCTTTATTTTACATTATGCACTTTTTCACTTAAACTTTTTTAGTTTTTTAAGTTAAATGTTACACATTTCACATTTAGTTTCTTTAATAATAAGTTTGCAAGCTTGTTTAATGCCAAGTAGTTCTGCACCCAGTTCCAACAAAAGTATTGGAGGGAGTGTTCCCCACACCACCAAGCAATTCTCAGACCCTAGCTGGGTGGCCTCCAATTCATCTCAATTCTGAC